GTTTCCACATAACACTCAGTGCTCATCCCCAAAGTGCCCTCCTTCATGCCCATCTCCCCCTCCCCCCCACATCCATCAGTCCTCAGTTTTTGTCAGCATTCAAGAGTCTCTCATGGTTTGCCTCTCTCCCTTTCCCCCACCATTTCCTCCCTTCTTCTCCCCCTTGTTCCTCCGTTAAGTTCCTCCTAATCCTCCTATACGTGCAAACATATGATATTTGTCCTTCTCTGCCTGACTTATTTCTCTCAGTATAACACCCTCTAGTTCCATCCATGTTGCTACACATGGCCAGATTTCATTCTTTCTCATTGCCATGTAGTATTCCATGGTATAGATAAACCACATCTTCTCTAAGAAAGAGGGCATAAAGAAAGAAGATGCAAAGTAACAGAAGCAGAGAGCCAAGCTTGAGATTTGGGGATTTCCATGCTAATTTGTTAAGTGAACAAACACTGTTAGTTGAATGAGAAGTACAACGGCTAGAGAGTTAGTTAGCAGGGAAACCAGAAGAGCTATGATTTAAAATTTTTAAAAATGAGCTCCACAATCTCACATGTGAATCAGGAAGGCTTTTGAAATAATTAATAATTACCTAGAAAAGCCATAAAAATAAAGGATCTGGATACCAAAAATGACTTTCTCTTCATTTAATCAAAACAAACATCTGCAGAAGACATGCCATGTTATCATATTTTCTAGATTTCTGTCACATAGAAAGATGTTTAACTTTTATTACTTTGTTCAGTTATATATAATAAATAGATCATCCAGGTATATTTAGCTTCCACTGAAGACAATAAACATTTGTGTAGAAATAAGGTCTACATTTCAAATTCTTCATTAGTTTGACATTTCTTCTCTTTTCTACTATGATACACTGTGCTTCATCCTTCTTTATCCAAACCACTAAGAAAATATTCCATAAGCTAATGAAAGTATCAGTTTATGTACTGTATGAGAATATGCTACCAAAAAAAGGAATTCAAGTTTGAGAAACAAACTTACTTTCCAGCAGCCACAGAGCTGCTATCTACAGATGGGATAAAATCGGTTGTCTGGTTTCCATGTCCTAGCAATAGCTTTTTTTTTTGTTTTGTTTTAGTGTGGAGTTCAAAAATACCTGCCTGATCATATACAGACACAAAGTAGTATATTTAGTATCTGTTTTAATCAGCATTGGTGTAAGGAATATAAAATATTCCTTGGGGAACCTGTCTAAATACTTGTATTTAGATACTTACATGATCTTATTATAATGGGACAATTTGCAATTTTCAATTATTAATTTTATTTTACAGTTCTCTCAGACTTTATGATATTCACAGTAGGCTACTACTAATTACATGCCTCTTTACTATCAAGAAGATTGGAATGGTATGTAGAAAATAACACAGTGTGATATGTAGTAAAGAACACAGCCTCTGAAGTCATAGAGACTCTGAATTAAGTCCTGGCTATTATATACATACCCAATGAACCTCACTGAGCCTCTGCTATCTGATTTTAAAACAGGGATAATGATATTTGGCTTGAAAGATGTCATGAAAACGAAATGAAATCACATATTTACAGGTACCTAGACAGAGAGCCTGGCCATGCTAGACTTCCATACAGCTGCTTCACTCTCACTCCCAGGCATTTAAGGTCTTTCCTGCATTTCTTCCCCCTTCTTCTACATGTTTAACCTAAGAATATAATGTCCAAGAAATGTAAAAAGAAAATAGAATAATCAGTTGTTTTGATCCTGAGAAGGCAGAGGGAATGAGATAGTCAAAGCTAAGGTGAAAAGATCATCTTTAGACAGGATAAACAACTCAAAGGTTGAGGTCGCTTGGCAGTCTTGAATATGCCATGAAGGCAGAAAAAACGGAGTTCCCTTTGAATGGTTTGTATTTTCTCTGTAAATTAGGAAGAAAAACCACTTGTTAAGTGTAAACAGAAGAGGGAAGTTTGAGGTTTGAGATGGAAGAAAGTTGAAAAAAGTGTTAAAGATAGTAGGGAAAGTTAACCAGGGAAATACAGTAAGATATCTGAGCAGTGTTGAGGGTCCAAATATTTGAGAGTGGTTCCACATTAATTTATGAACATGAATGTGTTCTGTTCTGTAGAAAGATTTTCTTCAGCAGTACTTGGCTACTTAGATGCAGGTACAAAGAAAGGTTATCTGCATTCATCTGGAGTTGGAATTTCATTTCATTTCTAGTCTAGAGTGTTATTTAAATAATGAACTATGAACACTAACCAGGATAAAGACAAAAATGAGAAAGGATAATATGCTAAAGGGATTAGGATAATGCCAGAATCTCGAGCAACCAAAAAAAAAAAAAAGGTAGCTGTTATTAACTATGATCCTCTAGCAATAATTTCATTATTCTAATTTGTAATAATTTCTTAAAATTTTTTTTAATGTTTATTTATTTTTGAGAGAGTGACAGAGTACAGGCTAGGGAGTGGCAGAGAGAGAGAGGGAGGCACAGGATCTGAAGCAGGCTCCAAGGCTCTGAGCTGTCAACACAAGAGTCTGACGCAGGGCTCGAACTCATGCTGTGAGATCATGACCTAAGCCGATGTCAGACACTTAACTGACTGAGCCATCTGGTGCCCCTCTACCTTATAATCATTTCTATGTATCTCTCTGTCTTTCACCAGACTGAGTTCTGTGAGGATAAAATGAGTATATTACTCATCTTTGATTCTTCCCAGAGTATAGTCCAGTAGCTACCACACTGTGACTACTAAATGCATATAATGAAATAAATGAATCAAATATCCTGCTTCTAAGTTATTAATATGGGTTTGTTTGTTTTGTTTGTTTTTAAGATTCTAACTAGAGCATTAAAACCTTAACAACAATTCAGAAAATAAGACATTTCTAAGAAAGGGTCACTGTCAATTCAATCATAGAAACTTACTTAGCTACAATATAATGGGTAAGAGTTTTCCAATATTGCAGAGTATAAAATTAACATGAGGAAGAAAATGAATTAATACAGATACAACATGAAAACCGAGAATGTATTTTTCTATTTTAATGGAAAAAAGGGGATTCCTGCCTCTATTTTTATCATTTCAATAACTTACAAAGTGTCATGAAATGAGTAATCTGAAGCATAACCTACCCAATGTGGAACAAATATCTGCATTAGAACTTCAAAGTAAGTCCAAAGACATACAGTCTGAGAGCTAGCTAGTCCCATTAACTTAATCTTTGCTTTGGGCAAAGGGCAAACCCCCGAAATAATACTGTACTTTTCCCGGTTTATCATAGGCCATAGGGTTTTAAGAAAGAGAACTTTTTTGGCTGTAGATTCAATTTAAAAAACATAAAGATTTTATTTTTGCTGTTACTTAAACTAATATATTCATTTTAAAGTATTCAAAGGGAAAATACATAGTTAACAGCTTTGACTTAACAGTAGACTGTATATAGGGAATTGCAACTTTAAAGTGCAAGCTGTATTAAGTATCTTCTTTAATAAACAGATTGATACTGAGTGAGTGAGTGAGTGAGTGAGTGAGTGAGTGAGTATTCCCTTCCTCCCTGCCCCCCAGAGAAACAGTGTTATAATGGGAGGTCAAGTCTCTTGCTGATTCTTGTAAGTCTGAAGCACTGTGTGACACCTAAAAATGCCTAAGCCTCTAGGTCCAACATTTTATGGGAAAACACATGCAGAGTTTTCATCTGAGATGTCAAAACAACCCCTTGTCTCTCTTACCACCTGTATTCTAACCAGTAGAAATCAGAACTGGCTAGGAAAAAGAGATTTCAGGCAGTGAACAAAAACGAAAGAAAAAATTCTGCAACTGGATACTTCTCAGCCCGGTTTGACTATCTCCATAATTCCTATTTTTTCCTGAAGGAATCAGGAAATGTCCTGTCTCTGCTTTCAAGGAAAGAACTTATAGTTCCTAGACAGAGTTTATCTCCTTCCCAGAGCCACTGCAGAAAAAAGAGCACTCACTCCTACTGAATCCCCATTCTCAACACTTATGATTTGTAAAGCAAGCAATTAAATAAGAGTAGTGTGTTTTGAGAGTCAACAAGAACAAGACATTTGAGGGGCACCTGGGCGGCTCAGTCAGTTGAGTGTCTGGCTCTTGATTTCGACTCAGGTCATGAACGAAGGGTTGTGGGATCGAGCCCCGTGTTGGGCTCCACACTGAGCAAGGAGCCTGCTTAGGATTCCCTCTCTCTCTCTGTCTCCCTCTGCCCTTCCCCCATTCTCTCTCTAAAATAAAAAAATTTTAAAAAAACATTAAAAAAAGAACAACACATTTGAAAAGGATGGGTTGAAAATATAAGAGGAAGAGAGACAGAAAAATTAAATGTTTGGGTCCTTGAGAAGAGAGGAGAAAATGAGATACACTCTATGTAGAAATTATATACCAGCAACAAGTGGGGACCTGGCAGTAAGTTAAAAAGGTTTTCTTCTCCCACCCCTTTTCCTTTACTTCAGTGAAAGTTAAAGACATACACAGATGTATAATCAGAGAGACCAAGACAGAGCTGAGTAGATAAGAAACATAATACAATCGATCTACATTTTAGAGTGATACCTAGCATAGAGACATTTTCATAGAACTACTAGACATTTTCTTGTCTTCTCATGGGCACTTAAAATCATAAAACATTAATGTAGGAGTTTCCATATCAATTAAGGATAAAATTATGAAATTTTAAAATTTAAGATTTAAAACAATAATCTTATTTTGTATCTTATATATTAATAGCTGTTATATAGTAAATATCTGCCATTGCTAGAGACTAATACATAATACAGTCTTTTACTGTGATTTGGTTTTGAATGATTTCTTATATTAAAAATTAATTCAGAACTACCTGAAAGAGAGGCTACCCAAACAGTATCAAGAATACTTCAACAAATTGCAAAGAAGCCTGGCTGTGACTGTACTTCAACTCAATCCTATCTACCTAATTCAACTCATGAGTGTTTTGTCTTCAACGAAACAAAATTACCAAAATATTAAGGCTGTATTACCTTCATAATGTTAACTAAATCTGTTTGATAGTAGCGATCCTGGTGTGCATTTGCTGCTGCTAATGTAAGAAGATAATCATTTCTTGCGTGGGTAGCTTTGGAATTACATTCAGATCGCCGGGCTTTTAACTAAAACATAGTAAAAGAAAAAAAAAAATCAATGCAAAATGACACTGAACTGTAAAATATAGGAGGATACCATTCTTAGCTGGCAATTAATGACTCCCCAAAAAGAGTAAAGGTAACCACGTGGAGAAATATTCATACACATAAAAAATACCCAACACTAGGTGCACCTGGCTGGCTCAATCAGTGGAGCAGGTGACTCTTGATCACAGGGTTGTGAGTTCGAGCTCTACATGTGGCACACAATTTACTTAAATAAAAATTTTTTAAAAAAATTCAACGCTATTAAGAAATTAAATAAATGGTGATTAGCACTATTATACATGGTAAGAGTGTTTTTACATATTTATTATTTCCATTTAACATACTTCCAAGGCTTTTCAGGAAACTTCAATATATTTTGCTCATTTTATTCAGATGGGAAAAGAAAGGTTCCCAAACTAAGTAAGTACCTTATCTTCAAAGACATGGGTAAATCTGTAAGAGTTAGAAAAGTTTTTAAAAAAATCAACACTTGTCATGTGCCAAAAGAACTGTGTGCTAGTTGGGATCCTGAAAGCCAAGGCGGGTTACTATACTTTACTTATCATGTATCCACAGCTTGAGTGTCCCACAGAAAAGTCTCACTTGCACTGGCCCAGAGTATTTGCTCAAGGATGTAAATACGAATGAAATAGATTTTGTAGAGATTTTCTAGAGCCCGTGGACTAAGAGTTATAGAAAATAGGCTACCTAAGCAGGTAAGGCATAGAAACTCCTATCCCTGAACCAATCTTGACAAGCAAATGGTGTCCAAACTACTGACTTTGGTTCATGGGGTGAAAAACTTCCATGAACTGGGAAGAAACTTCTTCCCTAAGTTAAAGACTTTAATAGCTTCTCTAAGTTTGGTGGAAATAACTGACTTCAACCCTCAAATAAACCAATTTTTTAAAATAACCTAAGGTTTCTCAATTGTGAAATAAAGTTTTCAAAAACTTACCTTTACACTTGCCTTCTGTAAACTGATTCTTGATTGAAAAAGACTAAGTTTAGATCTATAATAAAACAGGAAATAGTATGTTTAATAAAATTATAAAATTCTATCATATTAAACTTATTATTATAATTCCAAACTTTTTAAAAATGACACTTTTCCACAACACTATTCCAAAAGAGAACTAACGAATGGAAAACCAAGAGCAATGACTATTTTCCTTTATTTTACTACAGGAAGAATATTGTAGTGCAACAAAAAATATTGGGATATTTAATAAAAATATCCTGAATGACAAATATACAATTTGACAAATCCAGTATACTGGTGTCTCTTAATAAACAAGAGTCATGAAACTACAGGTTATTTCCATTATACAATTTCGCACACTTTAGTTCCTATAAGAAAGCTTAAGGAAGCCTAGGGATAACCAATCTATGAAGGCAAAAATTAGCAGGCTTTCAGGGCCATGTGCAATATGCTGTAACAACACCTGCAATGCAATCTACAGTATGATATTTTTGGGCTCTTGAAAGTCCTTAATTCCATTTTTTCTCCCATTAAAAGTCCTTGTGTTTTTACTCACTTGGAACAGGAGAAACTTAACAGAGAACCATGGGGGAGGGGAAGGGGAAAAATAGTTAAGGAGAGGGAGGGAGGCAAACCATAAGAGACTCTTAAATACTGAGAACAAACTAAGGGTTGATGGGGGTGGGGGAGACAGGACAAGGGGTGGTGGGCATGGAGAAAGGCACTTGTTGGGATGAGCACTGGGTGTTATATGGAAATCAACTTGACAATAAACTATAAAAAATAAAAATAAAATTTTTTTTAAAAAGTCCTTGTTTGGGTGCCTGTCTGTGTGCTCTCTCCACTGTTAATATAGTATTTAGAACACAGTGAGAAAGTCCTTGTTCTCTCTGCCCTATATGATTTTGTTCTATTTAATCTTCTCCCATTCTGGTGTCCTGATTTCTCTCAATCTCTTTTAGTTTGGGAAGGAAACAATAATCCAACAAAATGCTGGTCTCACCCAGACAACTAGAGATAACCAGAGGGAGAAAGTCAACCAACACTAAGGAATGACCAACACTCCCACGACCAGTGACTTTTGAAGCGTCAGTGTTTGTCTTGACTGCAGTGTCATGGTGATTGCCATGGGAGAATTCAGGACATGTGCTAGAAGCTATGCCATAACACGAAGTCAAGGTGCAGACCACTTGGGAATGGAAGGTGCAGCGAGCCAGTCTCTGTACAGCAAATGCAAGGAGGATAGCAAAAGCAGCCTATGACCTTTCTAACAAAAGAGAAACAGAGATGTTCACATACGCATCCTAACTACTTCCCCACATTAATTTGGGAGAGCCTGTTCAAGATAAAAAAAAGACTAGGGTATCCTGGATTCTCATTTTTTATTGTAGTCATTATCTAAATAGTCTGAGTTGCACCTGGATTTTCCAATATAAGGTTTTAAGTTTCTAGTTTCTGTTTCATTTGCTAATCCTCATATAATTCTTGTGTGGTACTTAAGAAGGTATTATTAATAGAAATAATACAGTTCCTGGGGCGCCTGGGAGGCTCAGTCTGTTAAGCATTCGACCTCAGCTCAGGTCATGATCTCACAGTTTGTGGGTTTGAGCCCCGTGTCAGGCTCTGTACTGACAGCTTGGAGCCTAGAGCCTGCTTCAGATTCTGTGTCTCCTCCTCCCTCTGCCCCCCAACTCCTGTTTGTGTTCCCCCTTCTCTCTCTCTCTCAAAAATAAACATTAAAAATAAGAAAAATGCAGTTCCTGTGCTCAAAAATTATGATCTATAATAAATTAGATATATACAAAAATTGAATTGTATTGCACATTCCTCTTCATCTTCATACTTCCAAATGTTAATTAATGTTCCTTAGGGTCTCAAACTCAATTTCTCATCTTATATATGATTTCATCCCTATCGCTATCATCTGATAGGCAATCAGCTCTGAAACCAAGATCTTCAGGCCCTATTCTCATCTGAGAGTTAGATATTTGGGCCCCTACCAAATTTATTCACCTCTATGTCCTATAGGCTCTTTAGAACCTACATATGCAAAATGGGACTCATTCTTCCCTTCAAATGGTATCCCTCTTCCTTATGCGCTCAGTCCTAATGTGCACATCTTACCGTCTGTCAAATCACCTACTGAAACTACATGTAGTCTAGTTTTCACTTCCCCTTTCTGATCCTCCTTCCCAACTTCTTCAAGATTCTGTGGAAACACCACTTCTTCTATAAAGGTTTCTTTTTTTGTTACACAAAATGAATCTATTTTCTAGGCTCACAAAACAGTGTTTTCACACAATTACAGTAAATAAGCATGTTAGTTACTGAGTGACATTAGTCACTTAATTTCTTTGAATTTGCTGTGAATAAACAAATCATAACGTTACTTTTAAACACATTTGTCTTTAATTCTAGGCTTTACATTTCTTAAGGAAACAAAGCTTATCTTACTCATCTTTGTACTCACAGCAACCAGTATAATTATTCAATAAATGTTTAGTGAGTGAATGAAGATAAAGAGACATTTCTTACTCTATAGTTGAATGAATCTTTCAGAGAAGTTACACACTGAGTTAAAATGTCTTATCTGCTACAACCCCTTTGAATTTGGACCATATAAGAAGGCAGTTTCTTGAGATCAGCATCTGTGAATTAGACCCTGTCAAATCCAGACTTCTTAGGAACAGCCTTGCAATCGTTCTCATTTATACTGTGTGGCCCTTAGCTAAAGTAGGTATTTATATATGCTCTACAAATCTGTCAACTCTCTGTTCTGGAATCCCTGAGAGTTTTAAAAAACAAATTCATAAAAACCACTAGGACAGGAAATTCCTGTTAGAGATCATCTAATCTAAATCCTTCAGGTCTTATTGGGAAGATAGGTTCATTGATTCTATGAAAGTATAGGAAATATTTGTATGCTCACAAAAAAAATCATTAAAACAATAAACTAAATTAGGGAAATGTTAAATATGTTTTCCAGTAACATTAAGTACTTCATGAGTATTCATCTGTCATCCTTTGGTACTAAATAAACTTTCGAGGATACGCTAAATTTTCACAAGAGGCTTATGAGATTGCTTAACTTCTTGCAGATAAAAGCATATTAAAGAACCTCGCCCACTAATTGCTAGTCTGTACAAGTGTTCATAACCTTTCTGATTTCATGATTAGGAGTTCAGAGTCCTAGACTTTGCATTAAATGGGAATCTCAGCTCTCCTCACTCTTTGGAGTATCATTCCTTGACACAGGTTTATTTTTTCTCAAAACCTTTTTATCTTTCCTCAACTTGTCATAGCAAAAATCTCTACTGCTTGTTGTATATCTCTTTTAATTACCAATTGCCAGTTCCTTCTGTACCAAATGACGATTTCTTTTTTCCTAATTATTCTCAAAATAAAGGACTTATAAGTCACATATATTAAAAGTAAAATTCACACAGTTGCTAAGGCCCACATTTAAAAAGTCTATGTATTAGAACTTCACATAAAAGAGAAACTGTGCCCGGGTCTGGGTTTCTATACTGAGGTTAGTGCTCTTACTTATTTGACATGCCAAGGTCCTTCAATGGCATGCTGAGGATCAGCGATTTCCAACTACAACTCATTTAGAGTGTAGCATGAAAAAAATGAGGCTCTTAAATTCTGATATTCAGATATCATAGCAACTTCAACAGGCTTTTGCTAAGTTTTCAATACAATGTTCATTTGTCTTCTTTCCTTTTCAAAATTCAATTGAAAGTGAAAACTGATCAAACATACTCTTATTGCTATATTAACTTAAATGAGATCAGCCAACATAAAAGAAAAATTTGAAAGTATGTACCATTTATAGGTCAGACAAAACCAACATAACCTAAGAATGAGTCTATGCCCTATATTAATAGAAAACAAAGTACTGGCAAAAATAACATTTATTTGCATAATTACTTTTTCAGAAATGCTAAAACACATACTTTGCCTCGATGTCAGCTTTCTCCCGTACTGCATGAGCCATCTGTTCAGTCTCAAAGTACTTCTTTTTGCCTTTAGCTAAATCTTTCACCGTCTCTTGTAATTCAGTTTGGATCTTCGTCAACTGGTCCACACACTTAAAATACAAAGTGCAAATATTATGATATTAGTTTTCAGGCTTACAGAAAATGAATTTGTCCTAAGGACTATATACCATGCCCTCAGGATGGAAACCCAGGAGAAAAATCAGCACTTTTAGTCTCCTTCAAATTGCAAATTAAAATCTAGTGAACAGCTGGTACTCCCATCTCAAGTAAGGTATTGAATACTGTTCCAGTTTGCTTACAACTCTGCTTTGAGAAATAACCTCAGTGCCACTGATGACTGACAGTAAGGTAAGGCAAAAGAAGAGCAACAATGAAAATGCTTTTATTGTTGGAGATATCATGGCACTAAAGGCAAAAGGATAAAGCAATTCTGTATTTCTTCATAATCCTTGTACGGGGGCCCTGCTAATCTTCTCTGTATCATTCCAATTTTAGTATATGTGCTGCCAAAGCGAGCACTCTTCATAATCTTAATAAAGTCTCTATATGCTTGGGGAACTGTTGGTGTAAAGGTAGTTAAAAATTCTACTCTGGGAAAGAAGGAGTGAAATCTGACAAGTTGAGCATTAAGTCCAAGATGAAAAAGAGAAGCAAGAAACCCGGGTACCACATAACAGTTACTACACTTAAAATTACTGCCAGCTCAATTCTTTGGATACATATATATACCCTGGGAGAAGGGACAGACACAATTAACTCGAAGAAATATTTAATCAATAAATTCTTATCACTGGGGCCAAAGTAACAATGCTTTGGAACTCTTCTGGATATCCAAAGGGGAAACACTTTTCACAGTTTGAAACAAACCACTGCAAAGTTTTACCAGCCTGAGACCAATTCAGGGAAGCCCTCACTGAAAAACTTCTGAGCCTGAAATAGTATTTAGTGGAGACTGACAAAAAACTCAGCAAAGTAGGAGGAGACATTGGTGAGGGACTACTGTGCCAGGCTGAACAGCATGGAGTAGAGCAAGGACACTGGAACAGCACGGATAAAATACAAACTTACACGTGTGACATACAGGCTAGACTTTCCCAGAAATTATTAGGTGTTAAGAAAGGGACAACTTTGGGGCGCCTGGGTGGCTCAGTCAGTTGAGCATCCAACTTCAGCTCAGGTCATGATCTCACAGTTCATAGGTTCGAGTCCCATGTCAGGCTCTGTGCTGACAGCTCAGAGCCTGGGGCCTGCTTTAGATTCTGTGTCTCTCTTTCCCTGCCCCTCTGCCACTTGTGCTCTCTCTTGAAAATAAATAAATAAACATTAAAAAAAAATAAAAAGAAAGGAACTACTTTACAAGAAGTACAAAACCTGGAAGGTTCTCTATGGGGATATTTATTGAGCACTTATCAAGTTTCAGGCTGTGAATAAAGGGTTAAAAAGCCACCTTTTTCTCCTCTGCATGAAAAGTGGACCCTTGCTTAACTTTCTAGGTCTGTGTTTCAACAGAAACGTGATGAAGACACAATGTCAACTGTGTTATTTGGCAACACTGCTTATGAACCTGATAGGCAAATTGCATCAAAGTACAAATGAACTATAAATATCTGGCAGAGAAGCCCTAGCTTTAGGCTTTTGAGAGTATGGTGATTCCTGTGTCTGGATGTGTCCTTCGCATAGACTTTGGAAGCTCTGTCTGTAAAGTTGTAATAAAAGCTTTTAGTCTCCGCTAGGGCCTGTGGCTACCCTACAGTGAGTACATGTGAGTCTCATTCTCTTGCCCTAGACCTCTTACCTGAGGAACCAAACAGAGTAACTGTGGCTGGCTATGTAGACTGAGGCATACAACGATGAAAGAACTAAATATACTAGTGCTAGAGGCTGCCCTGCTGGTGTACTGTGTTCCCTGTTCTAACGTCCTTCTAAGTAAGCCTCATGCCAGGTATGGCCTACGATAATCATGACAGTCTCAATGTTTAGTTACACTTAAGAAGACTCCCTATGGGCACGCATAGGCAGAATGCACTAAGTTTGTACTTTATAAATATTATCATATTTACTTTTCCAAATGACTCTGGTGAAAGTACTCATACTAGTCCTATTTTAAGATAAGGAAATAGACTTAAAGAGGTTAAATAATTTACCCAAAGTCAGATAGTGGGAAAATGATGCTGTCATTTACCATGTAATCCATTACAGTACATACTCATTTTGTGAAGATCATATTTTTAAAGTCTCATGTAGAGATACTTTATCTTAAAATAGTAAAAAATAATGCCATGACAACCTGACACTCCCGCAGAAAAGTGCTAAACATCCCAATAATGCCACGTTTGCAGCTGTGGAGAGCACAGAAAGTGTTCTATGACTTTAGTTAGATTACTAAGAACCAAAAACTAGGGCATGGTCTGAAAAATACAACCATGTTTAATGGGAAAATGAGATGGATTATTTAAAAGAGGAATGAGGTATAAGGCATTTAAAACCAAAATGTTCATCCAAAACAACAGAGCTTGACATCTCAGAAAAACTAATCAATGAAGAAGGGAAGCTCAAAACCCTGTGGTAATTTACATGCACTAAAAGGGTCTGCTAAATTGAGTGTTTTGAGAGGAAACTAAGCACAATAGGTCAAAGCTTTTCATGGGGGATTGCACATAATGTGGCTAGGATATCAGAATACTCACGCAAAGTGAATACCATGGGCACCTGAGAACTATGTGCATACATGTGCACAGACCCACACACGGCCACTCACTGCTCACTTCCCTACCATTGAAGAATAAGATGTATCTCTTAGACCTGATTACTTAATTCATTTTCATCTATAAAAGGCTACTAATTAAATTACTTTCTATACATATGACAGCATCAGGCAGAACTTATAGTTCATATTTTTGAAAGATTTCTCGAAAATATCACCAGAAAACTCAGGGTGATTCTGTTCTTGTTTTTTCTTTCCCTTTACATAAGTTTCTAAGATACTGTTCATCAAATAATATTAGATAGATAGCCTATGTGTACAATGAAGAGACCTTTTGGGATATATTCTTCCTTAGCATTCAGTAAATCCTTAACTAAATGTTTTCCATTACCAAAATTAACTGTTTCAACTGAGAGTAATTTGAGTTTTCATCAAAGGAAAGAGCTCCGCACATAGCAAAACAAAGGCACACCTCATTTTATTGCACTTTGCTTTCCTTTGCTGCATATATTGCATTTTTAACAAATTGAAGGTTCAAGACTTTAATGGAAGAACTGTAGATGTGGTGGAAATAGCAAGAGAACTAGAATCTGACGTAGAGTCTGAAGATGTGACTGAATTGCTGCAATCTCAGGATAAAACTTGAATGGACAGGAAACTGCTTCTTAGGAATGAGCAAAGAACGTGGTTTCTCGAGAAGGAATCTACTCCAAGTGAAGACTATTGAAATGACAACAAAATTTAGAATACTATGTAATTTTAGTTGATAAAGCAGCAGCAGGATTTGAGAGGATTGCTTCTAATTGTCAAAGAAGTTCTACTGTGGGTAAAATGCACCATCAGGCACTACAGAGAAATTATGTGTGAAAGGAAGAGTCAATGGATGCAGCAAACTTCATTGTTGTCTTATTTTAAGAAATTGCCACAGCTGCACCATCCTTCAGCACATACTGCCCTACCCTGATCAGCAGAAGCCACCAACATCAAGGCAAGACCCTCTATCAGCAATAAGATTATGACTCACTGAAAATTCAGATAATAGATAGCATTTTTAGTAATAAAGTATTTTTAAATTAAGGTATGTATATTGTTTTTTTTAGACACAGCTACTGAACACTTATAGTCTACACGATAGTACAAACATTAACTTTTATATACACTTCAAACCAAACAATTCATTTGACTCACTTTACTGCAATATTTGCTTTATCATAGTGGTCTGAAACCAACCTACAATGTTTTTGAGATATGCCTGCACCAAAAATATTTATTACATACAAGTCATCAAACTTAATTTGCAAAGAAAAAGATTACCTAAGATTTCCTTTCCAAATTTAAAATAAATTTTTTCATAGGAATCCAGTTTTCTGAGATGGACTAAGTTACATATTTAAAAAGAAGCTTACTTAATAATGCCTATATGTTAAAAAAAAAAAAAAAAAGACTTAGTACAGTATAAGCCCAGCTCTTTACAAGAGTTATCAGCACTGGGGCACCTGGGTGGCTCAGTCGGTTAAGCGTCTGACTTCAGCTCGGGTCATGATCTCGCAGTTCATGGGTTCGAACCCCGTGTAGGGCTCTGTGCTGACAGCCAGCTAAGAGCCTGGAGCTTGATTCAGATTCTGTGTCTCCCTCTCTCTCTGCTCCTTCCCTGCTCACTCTTTCTCTCTCTCTCTCTCAGAAATAAATAAAACATTAAAAAAAAAAAGTTATCAGCACTAAGCAGACACAGAAATGAATGCACAAGTTTACATTAAGGATAAGGAATCATATAAAATGGTGACAAACTTGGATACTAGGGTTCTAGTGAAAAAATTAAAAGTATGATACCTAAAGAAGTATGGTATCTACCTTAGGATAGATATACTTGGCAATAACTTGAAGAGAGGAATAAAAATAAACAGCAACTGAAGCCAAAACATTATAGTCCTACAAACCAGTAGATTCTCTAACCCAGTAGTCATGTCCTAGAAATTCATTCTAAGAAAATAACTTCAAAGAAAAAACTTAATTTTTATTGCAGACTTAGTCGTAATGTCCAAAAACAAAGGTATGAGTAAAGTAGAATAATAAAAAATTCATTCAGATATTAAAAACAGTAAACATAATGATTGTATAGAAACATGCACAATTAATTGGGAAATAGAAGAAAATGAGATATCCTAAAAAATGATCAATGCATTAATCATAACTACCGCAAAAAACTAAGAAGATAAAAGGAGTAAGGGAATTAAGTAGTATACCAAGGTAAAGGAACTGTATGTATTTTTCTGTAAACTTTTTAAATATTAAAGTTCAAGTGTTTTTAAAAGATTGCATAGGATTTGGAATTAGGAAGTAGTATATTTAAGTTCCTGCTATGTTATTTACTACTAAGTCTCTTTA